CAAGTTCTACTAAATTGGAAAATTCTAACTTTTATAATATCTATTTAATAGGTACATAATCTATTTATCATGTCAATAGTATTGACTAGCATTTCTGTCAAAATTAGTATCTGGTCATAATTAGAATTAGTTTTATTTCGGTTGCAATCTTTCATTTACCAGATGGACTCCATCGACAAGCGTTAATTAAATTGTTTGTTCGTTTTTTCAGCGTCTAACGCTAACTAAAAACACACGTTTACGTTTCCGATCGACTTCGAATCGAATTAAATAATTAGGGGCAAACAAAAGCATATGCCACCGTGACTTCGCTGCCTTATTTGGGCCAATTTGGTGTTTTTTGGGCTACCAGATGGCGCAGCGCAAGCCGTATGGTGCGCCGGCGCAATTTCTCTGTCTACTATCAAGCAATCTGGCTGTACGCCTTGATAAAGCAAAAAACTTTAATTTACAGACATGCATATTATGTGGCTACACATGTTTTACTTGCACAACGGTTGGTAGAGTTGTAGAAAGTAAGGAATAAGGTCTCAAATCATAGTCAAATGTTATTCTATGTTTGATCGAGTCAGTCTTTGAGTATTATCATAATTAATTTCGATGGCATAACTATCTTTATGCGACTATGCGTGTTGCAAAACGAAGCTTAAAACTTGATTCAGTTTCAAGTAGGTATAAATCGAAGCTTTTTTGTTGATTTTGACTATAATCAAGACATAATTTATGAGATTAAATTGAGTTTGATTATATATAGATTTTAAACTTAAATATCCAAGAAACAAAAGGTATCGCAACGTTAGGCAAAAAACCGGCCAAGTGCGAGTCGGGCTCGCGCACAAAGGGTTCCGTAGCAGCAACAGTTAAATCAACCTATCTCAAAAACTATAAGAGATACTTTGATCAAACCAAAAATCGTTGAAAGAGTTAATTAGCATGCATCACCTCTATTTTTTTTAGAATTTTATACCCCGTAGTTATAAAAATAGAGGGGGGGGGACATACTTTTTACGACTTTGAGAGCTGATATCTCAAAAACCGTTCACTTTAAGAAAAATGTTTTTTAGAAAACTTTATATCATTTTAAAAGACCTTTCCATTGATACCCCACACGGGTATGTACATCGAAAAAAAATTTTCATCCCTCAGTTACATGTATGGGGGGCCCCACCCCCAATTCTTTTTTTTACTATTTAGTGTCATAATTTTGTAGCGGTTCATACAACACATATTCCCATCAAATTTCATCACTGTAGTACTTATAGTTTCCGAGTAAATCGGCTGTGACAGACGGACAGACGGACAGACGGACAGACGGACAGACGGACAGACGGACAGACGGACAGACGGACAGACGGACAGACGGACAGACGGACATGACGAAACTATAAGGGTTCCGTTTTTGCCATTTTGGCTACGGAACCCTAAAAATACAAAGAAAACAAATAAATGGATAAAATGAATATTTGTCCATCTCCATAGATTCCTATTTATAAGAGCTTAAAGTTTTTAGAGCAGAATTTATTCCAGACAAAGTAAACAGTGAATCGCGACTCTACCAGTTTGATTTTATAGGAAGACGAATCTAAACATTCTTAGACATAAAATAAGATTAACAAAGATGCGTTAGATGACATCCATTGTTAATTACTTAGACAAACAGAATTCCTTTGATACTAAACTGGTTTTTTGGCGTTCGCATTCATAAGGAAGATTATAGAACATGCCACCTAATCTTTGAACACGTGGATCCTAGCGAAACTGCATAGAAAAAGTGGTTATTCAGTTTTGATCGTTAGTTCGGTGGCTCCCTTAAGGCGAGGTCCGTTTTTTGCTCGTTCCCATGAACCCTGTGACAATGGTGTCGACCTTACTGAACGCCAAGGAGATCCGCGCAAGAATAAATATTACACAACAATAGGGGTAGCTTCTTTGACTTTACATCGCTGCTTGGGAACGTAAACAGTCTTGATACTTTCAAGCTGTCACTTTTTATTTTTGTTATTTTTACACAAATCGAACTTACAAATCGAACTCCACGACACAAGTTGCCTGAAGCTTGAACGCAACTTTGTTGCAGACACGCAGCAAAACTCTAACAGTTGTAAAGGAAATTATGTTTAATTTACGCGAATGTCAAGGCTGTTAATTTTAGTTGGTGCAAATAGCGAAATGACGATGTAGGTGCAAAAATAACTGTGTTTAAGTAGGTGTAAACAGCGTTAAACACAGTACGCAAATGTTAACTAGGTCTTATATTTTTCTTACTGAACTTAAATATGACAACCTACTTTTACGATGCTACAACTATATTTTATATCTTTATTATATGGCTAGTAATAGTACATTAAATATCAGAAGGAAGGGTGTAAAAATTCTAAAATAAATCTGTCAAGGATTAAATCGTTTGGTCGTAGTATAAGGTCCGTGACAAAGCCATAGCGGCTCGTAACGTAACGGACTTTTTACGCGCTTAGATCAGCGTTTCTTCCTAGCGGTGGCGGGTTTGTTATGCAAAAGGATCGCGCTTTCCCACGCATAAGTAGAACTGACAATGATGCGGCGGTGATCAGACACGTGCAATACCTTTTTATTCTCTTGGGGAAATATTATAGACATGCATTTCGACGACGACAATTTATGTAAGAACTTGTTTATTGAGATTGTTGAATAAAGATCTTTCAAATACATAAACGTCTCGTGTGCTTAAAATTTAATTAAGCCTTAACATTTTTAAATTAAAACATCTTAAGCCTAATCATTTTATTTAAAACATCAACTTGAGCTTATTAAAAAAAAAAGACAGGAGGACTTTTTAATTTGATGTAGCCTTTTTGGGTTTAATTGTCTGTATTTTTGTCCTATATCTGCAATAATATGTGTCCAAGTTTAAATAGGTAACCTTTCTTTCTTTTCCAGATCAATTAACCAACGTCAGTCACAAGAAACAATTATTTTTTATTGCAACTTTGAGAAGCGAGTTTCAGCCGACAAGTACTAGGTAGCTCGAGTGTTTTAAGTACAGTAATAATCTCTGACAGATAATGGTTAAAATGGTAAACACACTACCGTGCTCGGTTGGAGCGCCAGAGATAACTGCCATCTTCAGGGGACACTTGTTTCATGATGAACGCTAATAACTACTTATTGGACGCCTCGGCGTATTTTAGAACTTTAACGTAACTTTTAATTTCTAAAAACTGGTAAAAACCGGCTCCCGAGCTGTATAAAGTGTTAATCGTAGTTCCACGGGAGTCCATTAGGCACCATTATAGATGCTATTAACATAGAATTACATGACGTTAAATTTAAAATTTGATGGACATGCTCTATCACGTGTATCGAAAAGTTTAATCATTTGAAACAGTGCCTGACGAATGGAGTGGAAAATATTTAAATGGAAGCCAAAATAGTGTGGTTGGTGCGTAAAATATGGATATTTCGTGAAAAAATTGTGGGAGAAATTAAAATTCCACCCGGAAACGCGGGAGCGTGCGGAACGAAGCAAGAAATGGGAGTTGCATCAACATTTGCGTTGCTCACATTCCTGAATGCAGCCTGGCTTCCTAATGTCAAATGATGTATGGGTTTGATAGGATGAAGGGGATGAGTCTAATTTACGACATTTATTAAAGCATCGGCAACAACTTATTAACTCCTTTGAAGTTACCGATTAGCACGAATAATTAAGGATAAAGCCTGTTTAAAAAGGGATAAGACTATACTTAGTCTTAATGAAACTTTCAATAAATTGTTTTTCAAATACGGATTAATGAGTATTTTTTAAAGATCTTTATTACTTGAACTCTACATGGGATATTTTAATCTATCAAAAAATTTTCTGATGATAATTCATCCTGCAAGGCAAAATTACCCACACCCAAATAAGTTCATACAAACTTTTTGATACGTCATCTCAAAAGGCACTTTGAATGGTCCTAAAAAAGAAACGGTCCGGAGCGCATAAAATCAAACTCAAAAACTCGATCCCGAAATTGTAATGACCCGTTTGGGACTCCCTCGGATCAGGGTTTTGGTAACGGGCGCATTACAATCACAATGCGATATCGCCTTACCGTTAACGGCTGGGGCCGGCTCTACTAACCAAAGGTTAAGTTAGACGAAGGCTAGTATGAGCGGTTTAGTTTTAGAAGGCATGGCCACCAAGATTTTTGACATAGAAAACAAAATAAAAAAGTTTTAACGTTATATGTGTCGTACACTAAACAATAATTTAATATCCCCATCCTTTTGGCGGAATCGGGTAAAAATGAGATGATGAATTCAATTACTTAAAGACTCTAGAGAAGAGTGATTAATATGTTTTTGTTAAGATAGTTAATATTTTAGGATGAATTTTATGTGTCTATTTGTATTTTATACTACTGTGTGTATTACTGTGCTGTGCTGGCTTAGTTTGGCCTCGACTAACTGGTTGTTAAGAATGTTAACATCGTTTTGTATAACCCGCCCTTGCGGCTGATGTCAAGCGTTATAAGTAGGTCATTCATAGTCAAATAATTTGGCCGATTACCATAGGGGTTTTTGTCTCAATGGGGATGAAATTAGGAGAATGTGTTTCTAATGGGGTTGATTGTAATCATTAGCTGGTGGTGGTGAAATTAGATTCTTTAAAAGATCAGTTTTTGTTCCCTTTAAAAAATCTTTGAAATTACTTAAAGATATACTATTAAAAATCTTAGAGTTTTAGGAATAAAACTAAATAAAATATATTTTCCAAAGATTAGATATTTATTGTAATAAGATGACAACATTGTCGCATTAAATAACTATAAATCTAACATCACAATAATTTATAAGTCTAAAAGGCACTACGTTAAATCAGCTATAGTAATTTGTATTATATTTAGGTGCCCTTTTGATACAAATATGTACATAGTAACATAACTAGGAATTCCTGAGCAATATTTTTAAGTATTTCACATACAGACTAAACATGTTTTTTTCTTAGAATATAAGTTACATTATTTTACTTTACAGAGCCAAAATATTAAAACCATTTTAAAAGTTTTCGAAATAAAGATAAATCTATAATTAAAAACTGAACATGGTAATTAATTCCATCGGTATTAAATAAATAGCTTGAACTTAACTCAAATGGCAATAAAAGTGTACATGGCTCATTATTCTACTGACCGTTACGGAACACCTTGCGCGCGCGCAACCGACTTTGGCACTCACAGCTGTACATTTCATTACATACTATAATTACATCACAATACATATCTCAAATTTTCTACTTACACAGATAAATTACAATACAAAAGTGAAATTTCGTTAATTCTTTTTAACAAGTGGACGCGTTTGCCTCGTTTTTTCCTGCCACCACTTCAAGGTTTCCTCGAACTGCTCCCTATCTTCAGGCGTCACTTGGATATCTGGCAGCTCCTTCTTCAGCTCCACATCAGTGTACGGCTGATCTTCAATAAAATTATCTTCCTCCTTAAACTTGTACTGATTCTGAGACAAAATCAATTCAGCATTGATTGTCTCTAAAGGCAGTTCCGCTTCACCGTTGAAACCGTGCATCTGATGATGAATAGAGTCAGAATACTTCACTTCAAAGTCACTTTCATTCACAGGTATGTCCGACTCACTTAAATATGGTTGTTCAGGAATCACAGTGAACTGTTCAGCTGCATTTGGAAAGGTGAAATGTCCGTCTAAAATGTGAGAGTTCACTTCCTCTTGTGCTAGGAGATCTGAGGACGGAGTCAAAGGCTGTCCAGTACAGTCTTCTTCTTCATATAAGTGAGGGGTCGACACCAACTGGAAGGTTTCTGTAGCAGGCAGTTCCACGTACTGAATCTGAGGTATCTGCTGCAAGGTACCATCCATCTCATCTTCGTCCATATCTTCGTCGTCAAGCGCCGGTGAATTTAACGAATAATAACTCCTCTCCTGGCTGTTTTCCCTGGGCGATGACGAAGCTGGTGACGGGAAAGATTCCATGGATGGTCGACTCGAGTTTTCTTTATCTGCGTGGCCAATGTTCAATAAACTTTCTAAGTTCCTAATATATTCCACGGCCATGCGCAAAGTTTCCACTTTGCTGAGTTTTTTGTTTGGACCTCGATTCGAGTTAGCATTTTCGAATGCAGCTGCCACTTCATCTGGGATGTGCTTGCGCAGCGCCGCGAATCCGTCGTTGACTTGCCGCACTCGATTCCTTTCCCGCGCATTCCGGCGTGCTACGGCGAGCGGCGTCGGCGTACGTTCCTCGGTGCTGCTTTCACGTAATCTCGGCCTCTTCGCGACTACGGTCGTAGCACTCGTATCGATGGCGCGAACTAACGAACTCACTGAAACTGTAGCGGGCGATTGCACCTTTGGTTTCTTCCGCACGATAATGATTTCTCGCCTGACGTTTTGATTGGCTTCATTGTTCGATATGTTCACGGTGTTATTCACGGTTTCCTGTAGCGGTGAGTTGCGGAAGACTACGACGCCGATCGAGCTCATTTTGGGATGAGTTGCCGATTTCACATGTTCTGATTGTTTGTTGTAGGTTAGTCACGGTGGTGGTGGAGTAGGATTGTGGTCACGTCGAGATAACTGTAGTGAGGTCAGGGTAGTTTAGGTGGCGTCGGATCGCCGGCCGCGACGGGAATGGCGCGTGCCACGGCTCGCACCTGGGTCGCTCGCGGGGGGATCAACAGGGGTACTTACGCTCGCTAGTTGCACACATGCTCTTTCAAAGGGGCGGATTGGGGAAGCGTTGCTTCAATAACAATAACATGCCCCACCACCGTCGATACAGTTTGTAATTTACGATTTCTTTTGATGCATTTCCTAGCGGCAGATAGGACTCAATCCAGTATCAAGATTTTAAAACACGATCGAAGAGCCAATCAAGGCTCATGCATAGAAAAATTATTAAGTAATTAATTTAATCTTATCCTTACATGTCATCATCAACCTTACATGTAACTTTATTTATTCTAAGCTCTCACAAACTCCAATGTGACTACTATTTTACCAAAAACATGCTTAATTTTGCAGTAAGTAGTGTAACTACCTTTTGTGCTTCAGCAAATATACGTAGTCGTCGTAGCAGGCATAGTAGATAAGCATTAAATGAACGAACGGAGCCGGCTCCATATGATTGTTTTGAACGAAAGTGGTTCGAATAATTAAAATCTAATTAGATAGGTATTACATAGTATGCTGCCGTATGAAGTCATTGCTTAAGTTCGTAACGTACCAAATTTTACGAGTACTTATTGTGAAAGTGACCGACGAACCTTCATTGTAAAGTCGAAAGCACTTACTTATGTATCTTCGTTTGACTAAAATTGTTAAATCTATCTCTCTACCTACACACATCATTAGATAAACTTATTCGTTTGCGTGTTTCAGTGGAATTTCAAGGGAATACGCTACGCAAGAAATGCTACGACTGCAGGCGCTGCGCCTAGAACCCATTTATTTTTTGTCCACGTAAAGGTTTCTTGATTAATGTTTGTTTTAAGAAGAAGAAGCTCTCTCCCTTTATTGATAGTTAATGAAATAGAAGGTAGGTAGGTACTCATTATTGTAAACCACATAAAACTTTCATTTTAATTGAAAATGCATCATTTAGGCGGTCTTATTATTAGGAAACGATCTCTTCATGATACAGATATTTAATCTTAGTTGTTTCTACAAAACTATTAACAAATGTTAACATTATTAGTAGGTACGTTGTTATGATTTGTGTGAGAGATTTCTTCGGCCCCATAAAATAAAAAAAATAAATGAAAATTGCAAACCTTTCTGACACATAAAAATTTATAACCCATTCAATAAAAAAAATATTACCAATAGCATTACTAAGACCTTATGAAGGGTCTGGTCTGAGGTGGACATGTAACTACTACATAGATACAAAAAATATATTAATCTTTGTATCAATATAATACTCTTAGAAAGATTTTAATTACTCTTAAACGTGTAAGTACAAAGGGAAAGTAAATAAAACGTCATTTACTGACATCATTGTAAACATCAGCTGACAACGAGACACATGGCGTAATAAACGTTATCATTTCTAATATCTAAGCACCCAAGTGTGCATTAGAAGTTGAATGTAACCATGTGTGTATAGAGAACTATCTCCATTTCTATGCATGTGTGAGTCTCACCCACGCCAGCTGCTCTGCCCTTTAGCTTTTGTCCTGCGCATTGGCACGTGCCACTGTCCTTTGTAGCCTATCAATTGATAGCAATAGACTTTATTACAATGCTGTATGAACCATTTTGAGTAAATGCTTTGAAGAAGATTAACGATGAGCATTTAGACTGTTTGGATTTGAAATCGTGGTCTTTACGCGATTAGGAATTTTCTTAATGACTCTGATCGTTAGTGAGTGAAGGATTTTAGTAACGTATTAACTTTTGAAATTTTGTTGTAAAGAAAAATTTTTGATTATCCTCTCTTTGGTTTCGTTTGTTAATTTTCTTTGCACAAGTTTTCGTTTAGAAAGAACAAGCAATGAATTTAAATTAATAAAATTAGTACCTAATCTGCAATTTAATTCAATTATTTTTAATTTAATTTTATAGTGTCATCTCTCAATATTATGGTGACGTAATTATTTTATTCTCAAGATTTCATCGGAGAAAACTTAATTTACCACGCCGAAACACGTTCTTTGTTACATATTTTAAACATGTCCAATTGGCATAATTATCACAACTGTAAAACATATTGCGGCACAAGAAATAAGGCACTCTTCCACGGAACGTGACGCCTATCCGTTTACCGCAAGCAATGTTACGCACTGTGTTTTTAATATTCTTCATCTTTAAGGCGTTCCACTTAAGCTTTTTAACGTTCAGTTAAAATTTATTGCAATCCTCAATGTAATAAAACACTGCAGGATTAGGGAGTCTTACTCGGGCACTGTTCCTAATACTCGAAAGTGCATCCTGTAATTCAAGATGTGGGTTTTTTCTCTATCTCGTAAGGTGATGTACACCATCTTGGCAACATGTGGTGCCTCATTATTGGCGTCAGGTTATGCTGCGAGCTAAATTTAGCCAGACCATATGGGGAATTAAGGGGGGTGGGCAAATCTGTGCCATGTTCGAGAAAGTGACTGTCAAAACACCGTAAGCCTTTTAGTTGCAATATTTGTTTTAAGAGCTCTTCCGTTTGATTTTAAAAGTTAGTGATTGCTTCTATCTTACTACTTCATAAAAAAATATTCCTACGTACCTTTAGACCATACTCACAATTAATAGGTTTTATTTATACTTATCTAAATAAATTAGCATTTTAAAAATTGAAAATGTTCAAAGAGCATAAAATGCCTATTTTTTTCGAGATTGTAAGCATGGACTCAAAAACAGTAAAAAAGTATAGTATCAAAATCAAAACACACCCATCACATCATCATCACAGCCTAATAAAACTGTTTACAAACAATGGCTAGTCGTCGTCTAGACGAAGCAAAAGGTACAAAACATCTAAACATAACCTGTGCATTCACATCCGTCAATCGGGCAGCTGTATTTTGAAAGAGCGACCTTTTTCTAAGACCTATCTCAATGCAGGTCGCCTTGAAATAACTAGCCATTGAGCAGGGCCATTATTAGAATCGGATAAAGGGGGACCTTCAACTTGAAATCTAAGGTCGCCGAAGAAAGGGTTAGGCTCCGTCTAGGTGACTAGGCTAAGCGTTCAATAGATGCAAGGGGAATGGGAGTCAGCCACAAAAACAATTGAGTACGAGTACTTCGCTTCTAATAATGCTGGCAGGCTACATTTATTTAATAGCGTTATTTACGAGAAAAATAAAAGTTCAAAAATAGAAAATTAAATGACGCAAATTGGAATTCAATCCCGACCTTTACCCAACTTCTCCTTTCTTGCGATTTTACACAAAACTTTAGCTTCATTTATTATTGTTCATTTGAGATTGTTTACTATATTATTACAAAAGATTACCTACATTTTATCGTAAATTGGACAGTAAAATTATCAGTCTTACTTGATGTATTATGGATTTCAAAATTGACGACTATTTTTAGAGCGTGGAAAGTTTGAAGTTGAGACGAGTTTTAGTCTACAAAAACAGCGTAGAAAGTCTCCGTATGTAATCATGGAGTCAAAATATTGAGAGAATCTTAAGAATCTGTAATCTTTTGTGTAAGACCCAGTGACATCTCACTCACTTGTAGTTTTCTAATAAGATTTCTAACTCTACGATACTCAGCCGTAACATTAACTCTCAAAATGTCATATTATTTTGAATAGAATGAATTTGTAAGTACACCCCAATACAAGTTCTCCAGACTGGTCTTCAATGGCGTAAAGATTGACATTCATAGCAACATTATGCACTCTTTCAAAGTCGGGATTCGCAAAAAATATCCGGCGGGCTTGCGCTTTCATTCCAGTTCCATTCCATTTATGGTCCAGACAATTATGCTTTTCATATATTGTTTTACACCAGACGAACGACTCCCCTACATTGGGACTTTTGCTGCATTCACTTTCAATAAGCTCCTGTACCTACAAACTTAACTCTACCTTTACAATTTAAATTGGCATCTCATTCTAGACCTTATTCCAATTTAATAAGCAATTGAGTTTGAAATCCAATGGTATCTATAATTTTGTAAAATACAAGATCAAGTCCTGCAAGGGAACACCGCACAATTTGGTCTCGTTTTCTATAGCAAAACCGTTACATGCTGAGAGCTAGGTTTTGTATGGGAATAAAGGAATTTTAAATTAGAACACAGGTTTGCGATCTGGACCACGGGGGACATGATTTCGGGGTAGGATCAGTTTTGGAATAATATTCCGAACTTTGTCCTGCGAGAAAGCAGCGCTTTATTTGAAAGCATTGAATCATATTTAATTTTGTCTTTTGATAAAAACAAAAACGTTTCTAATTCTACATTAATGGAAGAAAAATTTAGAATTTAGGGTTCAGAAAATCACATACCTTCAAAGTTAGTTATCAACAGAAAGAAAGTCATTTTCAGAAAAGAAAATTCTTGATTCAACTTATTGAAATAGTGCAATAAAACTTTGATTAAAGTATTATTATTCCATTTTAACTTTACCAACGAAAAAATATCAGAGGCGGCAGATGTTTGAGCCCGCGCCGCCTTACTCACACAAGCATAGTTCTTTCTCTCTTTTCAACATCAAAAAATCCGTAAGTAGGAAAAGGACGCCCTGTGTCAATAGGGGTTGCTACGAGGGTATTGCCACGTGACCTCTTGCGCCCACACACACATTCAAAGAAAGGGAACCCTCGATCATTTTATTGATCACGGGAAAAAATCTCTGCGATTTATGGTCATTGTACGAAATCTCTTCAATTATTTAATTCTAAAAAGAAATTTACCTCACTACTTCATAAATATCTTGATAACTTGATGAAGACTCCTATTACCACTTCCAACCTATTTATGGTTAATATTTATACATATTATCATAATGGTTTTGGAACATTTTAAATAATTATGTAAAGTAAGTAGAAATCAGTGGTTTTCCTTAAACATGATATCTAGTTAATAATTTAATAGATGGAAAGATTTATGGTGCAAGTACCAAACAAAAATAATTACATAAGCTAGATCATGATTGACTTTTGTCAACAATATGATAAAAATTAAAACTGACTTTAAAGGCAAAAA